CTTCTTGTCTCATTGTGCTGTTGCTGTGTCTGTTCCGTCCCAACAGGCCCGAACTCCCCTGGAGCAGGAGATCTTCGGACTGCTCCGCAAGACACAGCAGCCCATCACAGACCCACTCCTGACACCGGAGGAGACAGCCTCACTGCAGGCAATGAGCCTGGAGGAGGTGAGTGCTTCCCCCCACCGTGCCCTGGCTCTGGAGGCCTCTTCCTCGGCGCCTGCCCTCACCCCGTGCTCCCCGGCAGGCCCGGCAGCGGCGGGCAGAGCTGCAGAAGGCTCGGGTCGTGCAGTCCTACTACGAAGCCAAGGCTCGGCGAGAGAAGAAGATCAAGAGCAAAAAGTAAGGCTTTGTTGTCGCTGGGCTCGGTGCGGTGGGAGAGGGCTGGGACCCAGCTTTGGCGCTGGAGCCAACCCTGCCCAGCGTGTGGGTATGGCCAAGCTGTGGAGGAAGGCAGAGCAGCCCTCTTCCTCCCTGGGATCTGCAGCGTATCGGGCAGCCTCCTGCCCAAAACAGCGCTGCGTTCCCCATGGCTTCCCCAGCGCCATGAGGTCTCACTCCCCGGCTCTCTGCCCTTGTGCCGCAGGTACCATCGTGTGCTGAAAAAAACCAAGAGACGCAAGGCCTTAAAAGAGTTTGAGCTGCTGCATAAGTCGGACCCTGAGGCCGCCTTGGCAAGGCTGGAGGAGCTGGAGCAGCTCAGGATGCAGGTGCTGCTTCTGCGCTTCTCCCCCACCCCTCGGGAAGTCCCCGCTCACCGGGGTGCTCGTTCTGATGCTTCTCTCTTCCTCTTTCCCCCAGGAGCGGATGAGTCTTAAGCACCAGAACAAGGGAAAATGGGCCCGCTCCAGGGCCATTATGGCTAAGTACGACCTGGAGGTGAGATCAGAGTCACAGACTGGTTTGGGTTGGGAGGGACCAACCCCCTGCCATGGGCAGGGACACCCTCCACTAGCCCAGGTTGCCCAAAGCCCCATCCAGCCTGGCCTTGAACACTGCCAGGGAGCCAGGGGCAGCCACAGCTTCTCTGGGCACCCTGTGCCAGGGCCTCAGCACCCTCATCGTAAATAATTTCTTCCTCATGTCCAACCTAACCCTACCCTCTTTTCGTTTAAAACCGTTGCCCCTTGTCCTGTCCCTGCAGGCCTTGGTATAAAGTGTCTCTCTGTCTCTCTTGTAAGCCCCCTTTACATATTGAAAGGCCACAATAAGGTCTCCAGTGCTGGTTGGGGAAGGGGGAGACAGCTGAGGTGAGACGAGGAGGGTGGGCATGTTGTTTCTGGCCTGCGTTAGAAACCTCCCAGTCCCTTCGCAGGCCCGCAAAGCCATGCAGGAGCAGCTGGCCAAGAACAAGGAGCTGACGCAGAAGGTGCGGGTGGAGCTGCCTGAGGAGGAGCCAGGCGACGTGCCTGAGGAGGACGTCACGTCGGTGACCGTCCCCACCGTCCCAGCGGGTGCCAGTGGAGCGAATCCCTGGATGCTCGGCAAGCCCAGCAGCCCAGCCAAGGAGCCTGAGGTGCAGGAGGGCGTTGGAGATGTTGCGGTGCCTGGTGCTGCAGAGAGCAAGGAGGAGGAGGAGGAAGAGATGTCAGAGGAGGAAGCTCTGCTACAAGACTTTGCGCAGAAACGGCACGTGCGGCAGCAGCGGGCAGGGAGCCCTGAGGGGCGAGGTGAGGAGCCGGCAGCCCCGGGCAGCGTGGGTCTGGTGTGCCGCAGGGATGGGCAAAGCAAAGGGGGTCGCGGGGCTGTTTCCTGCCCGGTTTCACACAGCTGTCCCGCGCTCTCCCTCCCTGCCCCGGGTGACTGTTTCTCACCCGTTCCCTCGATGCGTAGGTGCTGATGAGGCAGAGGCAGTCTCTGAGCTGCTGGGGGATGGCCCCATCCCCACCATCTGTGCCGAGGAGCAGGGGAGCGCGGGGATCGAGCAGCCCCCCCAGGCCCAG